AAATCTTCTATTTCATTTTTTTGCTATTCTAATTCTTTGAAAAACTTGTTGTTAATATATTCCATTAGGTCTAATTGTTTACAGTTCAATATTTTTTCTTTCTAATTTTTCAACTCATGTGCATAATTCTTTATTTTCTAAATAAATTGTTTGATTAATAAAGGTAAATTTTAATAATTCAGCAATAATTTAATTGTAACCTTTTTAAATATCCTCACTGGTTCAAGTTTCAGGTGACAATTCAACTTTTGGTATTAATATTCACACAACTTCAGATGCCAATATTTCAAGCAATACAATAAATGGTCTTCTTCTAAGTAATTTGGTAGTTATAGTAAGGATTAAAGATTTGATACCAGATATTATTAAATGAACTGTTATCATTTCTGATGCAGTTTATATGAAGAAAGTTTGTAATAACAGAAAAGTTTATGAAGATTACAAAGGTAAAAGGGACTATTCTTTGTAAAAAGTGTATCTAGATGGTTTTTTTTGTTTAGATATTTTAGGTATTGGAAAAAAAAATTAAATTAAAGAGACATTTAAATAAAATTATTTGTATTGTTTTAATACAATTTGGAGCTATATACAATATTATACTATTATTTGTTATACTATATATTATTTATTATATTATGCTTGTATTATATTACAATTCAAAGCTATTTAATATATTAATCACAAATTTGTCACTTTATGTTACTATTTGCCAATTTTTAAAATATCTAAAAAGCATTCAATTTTAGCTTTACTTAATGAAAGATTAAGAAAAAATCCAAAAAAAAGTAAAAATTACTTGCAACTGTAGTAAATATAATGAATTACTTATTGACTTATGAACAGAATTTTTCTATAGATATGAAAAAGCAAAAGGTAAATATTTGACAAATGAAAAATTCACATTTCGACACAGAATGAGAAATATTTCATTAAATCGAATTATGTCATTAAGTAACAATCAACAAAATTTGAAATTTAATAATACAAGTTCTAAAAATAATAAATCTGAAGTTGATAATAATGAAAAAATAAATGATATATTCAATTATTATTTGGCATCAAAATATGAATTTTTAGCAAATTTTAGCAAATTTTTGAATAGTCATTTTATGTGAATTTTGTTATGAATTATGAACTATAGAATTTGATTTAATTTATTAAATAGTATAATAGATACACTGCTAAAATTTATGAATTGATACTAATTGAAATTAGTGGTGAAGAATTTGAGCTCTTTTATAGGTCTTTGTATACTGTCAACAATAAACTTGGATTATTAGATCAGTTTGTTAATTTTGTGACATATTAAAGATGTCACAAATTATATAGATAGGATTATGTTCTTGGTTTTCAAAAAAACAATCAGTTATCAGTCATGAAGTATATTTATATTAAATTTTCTAATTTGACAATAAAATGAAGAAAAATTTGCAATTCTTCATTGTCTATACAATTAGAATTATTAAATAGAATGTAATTAATCACCTAATTTAGTTTTTTCATATTATACTATCCAGTATTAATTGTTATAAATATAAAAAATCTGAATTTTGAATCTAATTTTTGATATTAGGTAAATTAATTAAGCATTAATAAACTTCTATGTGATATCTATAATGGTGATATTTGAAAAACTTTTAAAAATGAAAACTCAAAATTATTTTTTAACAAAGAGACATTTATATGAAGAAAGTGAAACTTATATGTAAAGATGGATCTTTAAAGAGGGAGGCAGAAACATAAGTCAAATGTCACTCACTAGGAAATATTAAAATTTTTAAATTAATAACTATAAAAAAACTATCCACAATTGTTCTCCATTACCCAAATCATTGATTTATAGCATTTCATGATTTTTGTCCCTATTGAAGTGAAGAGTTATGAATTTTGTTCCTCAAAAAAGGACATAATTGATCTGTGAAATTTTATATGCTAAATACTTTAGGGACCCATCATTACTTATATAAGAAATCCACTAAAAGAAAAATAAATATATATAATTACAGTTGATATTCTAAAGAGATATTTTTCGGTAAAATATTTTATACTAAATAATTACAATATTAATTATAATTACTTATAATTAAAGAATTTGTTAAAATATTTGAATAAATATTTGAAATCAATTCAAGCATTCCAGCTGACTTGTAAATGATATCATAATAATTCATATTTCTATGACATGATGCTACCAGAAGGTTTGCTGAATTGGATATATAGTTTGAAAAAAATTTTAGAATATAAATAAGAAAAAGAGATAGGAAAAGGTAAAAAATCAGTAATTAAATTCAAAAGACAAAAAATTATCAAATATAAGAAATCATTAATATATTTAAAGAATAAGAAATTTCCTCAGCTCCATAAGAACCTGAGGTCCACCATAAGTCAATCTGGGGTGCGGATGGATACAGGACAAGCAAAACTCCTAAATCAGTGATATCTTGGAAAGAGAACTGTTGGAATAGAATTCACCAGATAGCCAACAAAGACCTCTCCCTCCTCCTCTTCTCCAATAAATATAACAACACCTAGGACAGTATCTTTTGGGAGGGTTTTGATACTCCCATCTTCTCAGTGTATACCGACATATCCTTCGAACACAACCACCTCTCTCAAAAATTTTTTATTTGGGATGACGTGTCTCGCTTGAGTACGTTCGTCAGGGGAATCTAGGAGGATCGACAAATCTTTTTTTCCAGTGCGCGAATTAGATTGATCCAAGTTATTCTTCCTGACAACAAGCCATCCCATGGGTTGAAGTGGTCAGAATTTTACAACATGGAGACACTGAAAGCAGCCAAGGAACAGGTAATATGCCCTCGACCGATGAAGCCCTCGAAGAGTAATCAGCTTATAGAATCAAAGTGGTAGTAGTAGTGTAAAATTCCTAACCATTTATAGACAATCCTAAGAGTGTTTTATTAATAATTATTTCTTGTATATGCATTTATTTGCCATGTCTTGAAACTTTAATAAAACAAGGCTGAGTCGCCGTTTCAAAAAAAAAAAAAAATTTAAAGGATAAGAAACAAATTGGAAAAAGTACATGAATAGGTAAAATTCAGGAGATAGTTAGGTTAGAAGAAAAAAGTGAAAAATCTTGAAAAACATTTGATAAGATAAAACTAATTGGAACTAGTTTTAAAGGAGTCAAGCTGAGATCTTTAAAGAAAAAAGAAAAGCACGTAGAAAAGAAGAAAGAGAAGAAGAGAAAAATACTAAATAATTTAGTCAATTGATTTTATAATTTTTTAATAAATTTTGTAAAATTTGAATTTTTTATTGTAATAATTTTTTTATCAAATTTTTTTCTAACTTTTTTTCACAGTAATTTTTTATTGAATTTTTTCCTACAATAATTTTTTTGCTATAGTATCAATTTTTTACCAAATTTTTTACTGCAGTATGCAAAAAATTTTTTTGCTATATTATATAAAAAATTTTTTATTACAATATTATTGGATTTTTATGCTAAAATTTTTTTTATTGTATATCAATATTTTTTGCTGATTTTTTACTGATATTTTTAATGCCTAGTAATAGTAATTGTAAATAATTCATCAATCTTTTTATTATTAATTTTTGTCAAATTCAGCAATAATTCAACAGTTAAATGACATAATTTTGGCTAGTGTACAATATAACTAAGAGAGTGGAAAAGTTGTTTCTAATCATGACAGAATCTCTATATTGTTTCTTTACTATATGAGACAACTATATATCAGTTCTTCTTCCTTTTTGAACTTTCTTATCCTTGATATGAATAGTATTACTTGACTTTAATAGGTTACAAGAGTCTAGTTTTTACTCAAAGAGAATTGTAAACAAGAGGAAAGGAGTGTAGATAACTTTTGAAAATAACCTTCAAGTTGATTTAAGAAAAGTGTTAAGACTTTATTAGCAAAGAAGTATAACAATTTCTTGTAAACATCTTTTTTGTATGTGATGAGAGGATCAGCAAAAAGAGTCGATGCATGTTTGATTTAATTAACATATATTGTATATTAATATACTGTATTTATACTTAAAAATAAATTACATAATATAATATCTATTTGCAACAGTAACCTGCAAAAAATGATATTAGTAGTCCTTACCTGAACTACTAATGGAACAATAAATCACTTCCAAAGTTGCACTTAGAATTAATTAAACTAAAAAATTTAGTGATACATAAATATACAGTATGTATAGTCTAACAAATGTTTAATAAGTACACATGATATCTGTTGCAAGATAATTGGATGATCTGTAATACAGTAGATGACCAAGAGAAATTTTTCAAAAAAAAAATAACCTAGTATGGCGGACGCCTCCTTATAACATTGCAATAAACTAATAATAAAATATCAGATATTGATTAATCTTTTGCTTACTACGGCACTACATGTAATTCAAAAAAATTTCTTGCGAGATTGGAGGTTAATACACCAACCCCTGCCCACGATATTGCGATAGTTGGTGTAATAAGAAATAATCCTAGAAATATTGGAAGAATAATACCAAACAATAGAGGAAGAAAAGTAAAAATATAATATAGTACTTTCTTATCAGTTCTCTCTCGTATTGCTTCTACTCCTGCCCAGAAAAGTTGAATTCCAAAGACGATAGAATTTAAATATATATTAAAATATTTAATAATATCATTATTTTTATTTTTTTACGTCGCATCAAGTATATTGAAGGTTATAGCGGTAAGTATGACAAGTAGAGCAATTATTAAATTTACGTAGTATCTCTATTTTAGAGGTGAAAAAAAACGTCGAAAAAACTATTATAATTTTAGTAAAGTCTAGTAAAGTATCGATGACAAATATATGGTTTACAACATACTCCTCTTTTACGCTCTTCTTTCCTTCCTTCTTCCCTTCCTTCTTCCTTTCCTTCTTTCCTTCCTTCTTTCCTTCCTTCTTTCCTTCCTTCTTTCCTTATTTGATCACGTACTCTCAAAAAAGTAACTTTTTCTGTATCGTTCAATCTGTTATATATCGTTAATTCTTCTGGACTCAACCTCGGAACAGCGCCTTCTTCAACACTAACTAAAATTACAATACTAGTCGTTAGTAAACTCGATTAGATTGGATAACTAATGTTTATTAAGACAAACCATTCTCTTGTACTGCGATAATAGCATCTTCTGCAGTTTCTGAAATAGTAGTACCAGCCGTTAGTAGACTTGATCATTTTGAAAACCAATACATACTCTACAACCTTGATTTTCGCCCATTTGGTTGTATTTGGAAGGTAATATTTAAAAGCATGCCTTTTTGTACGATGCAATGCAAATCTGTCGTCATATTCTTTTGTAGATCACAAGTATCCAAGTGTGACGTTATCATATCGTATCATTGATTACTATTGATAAAAAGGAACATTCAAAATCGGAAAAATATTAATAGTATTTAATTGATTATATATAAATTTTATTAAAATTTATTGAAATATTATAAAAATTTAAAATATTATTTATATGAACAAAAGAATAAAAAATATAAAATTTTTTTAATAAATATTTACAAAAAAAAATTTTTTTTTAAAGCTCTAAGTTTAATTCAAAAAAATAAATTTAAATATAGTTAAAATCTTTCCTGCAGATCCATTTTTTCTAAAAAAATTTCTTTTATAGTAATTTTTAAAGAAAAAGAAAAGGTGAACGGAGAAATGTCTTCTCAAAGAGAACTTCGCAGCTTAACATTCCAGTGGAGACCCAACTACAATAAGAACATCCTCGCAAGAGGTAATGCAAACAAGTCATGCAAAGAAACAACAACGCGAGTAGTAAAGGAAAACATCATAAACAAAGGAAAAGTCAAAGAAAACAATCAAAACGAAATACATAAAGAGGACTCTAACACTCAAAACTCATCCCAGATCCTGGCAACACAGACCACTACAATCAATTCATCAACAGCAACCATCCAAACTACCAACTGGAGTGAAGAAGTTGAAAAAAACATCTCAGTCACCAAAGTTTCAACTATGAATCCACCCAACGATATCCTAACAACAACCTACACGAAGACGACAGAAGAAGTCCTCCAAGGAATAACCAACGAAACACCAACAGTAGCACGCATAGATGACTCAGACATGGAAATGGAGATAGAAGAAGAAACTCAAGGATCAACCTCATGCTGGCAACAAGTCGGAGACAAGGGCAAACAAAAATTGGACAGCCGAAATACCAAACCAAGGTCCCTTTCTTCCTTTGACAAAACCACCCACTATGGTAGAAAAAAAGCCAAGATCAGTATTCCAGCAATGGACCTGTCAAATAGAACTACAGCTCAAAAGATAACTTTCCTTATCAAGGCCCTAAATTCACCAGACGGATTAATGACAATCCGTAGCAAAAAGAAAAAAGAGGTTGAACACATCATTGCTATTTTAAGCAACAAACAAGAAGCAATCGAGATCTACAACACCCCACTGCCCGATACAGATAATAAACACATGGATTTTATGGAATACACAAATCCAGTCCTAAAACAGGAAAACAGTATCAAAGTATGGGACATCCCCCTGGACACCAAACTCATAGAAGTATAACAATCCTTTGCCAAGTATGGAGCGATAAGCAACATCACAATGTCAACCCAACAAATGTAGCAGACAGCCACGATCATCTACACCAACAAAGAGGATAAACAAGCCTTAATCGACAGATGGAGTGTCACCCTCAAAGCAGACTTTGTAAGAGTTTTTGATACACAATAGAATGTGGATTAGATGAAAGCACGTGGTCAAACTACAGCAAATCTCACCAACCTTCCACCCAACACTACTGCATTTGATCTAAGAAGAATCTGTGAACAAACCAAGACCAAGACCTGCTATATTCCAAGAAGGGTGTCATATCAAAGAAAGAGATTCGCGATCATCAGCTTTACTAGCCAGGAAGACTTAGAAGCTGCTGCATTGCAAGAATTTCATCTTGGAAACTTTGACTGCATCTGACAATCAATTGAAACCAAATTATGCACAATCTGTGATAGCCCAGATCACCTACTAAACAACTGCCCTATCAAAGAAAGAAGAACGCAATGGAGGGAATACAACAAAGAACAAACAAACAAATTCGACAAACTATATAACAAGTTTAGACTGGCACGCACTACTCCAATCAGAAACTAAACCAGACCTTCACAAAACCATCATACCAAGCCAGGATCCTACGTAGCAGCAGCCAAATCTGGACAACGCCAATCAAGCCAGATGGAAAAGAACACCCCTACACTAACTGATATTATGGCTTTTCTTAAAGAAATCAAACAAGAAATCGAAGAGATTAAAGAAAATATCATCGACCTGAATAAAAGAGTGTATAATTTAGAGGTTTCAGAAGACAACCTCACAGATACCATAATAACTGAGAATGAGGAAGAAGACTCCTCCAACCAAAATAAAACACCTAGTACTCAACCAAACAAAAAGAAGCACTCCAATATCCAAGCTCAACAACAAAAGATCCACGAGTCAATAAGTAGAATGGACCAAAATATGCACAAGGCACTTAATGCAATCTCAGACCTGATCCCTAGCACAGCCTCCTCCCCTAGAAACTATCAATGAGTAACACACCAGTATCCCTTCTACCAGAAAATCCATCATACAACAGTCATATCACATAAACTGAAAAAACATCTAAAGATACACAAATATGAACTTCTATAGATTCCATCACTCCCTCAAATGACTATACATCAGAAGACAACCCTAGCAATATCAACCCAATAACATACACCGATTCAGACACTCAATACCCAATTTGGCAAACCACAACAGTCAATATCTAAGGCCTAACAAATAATCACAAAAGAGAAACCTGATTCTACTGGTGCACCACAAAAGGCTAGAACATCATAGTAACAACTGAGACTAATGGCACATATCAACAATCTAAACACTGGAAACATCCACTCTACAACATAATTTGGTCACATAACAATGAACAGACACTAGGACAAGGACTCAACCTGATGATCAAAAGAGATATAGTATACCGTATTTATAAATATGATGCATGGAAGGGAAGGCTCATACACACAGACCTCGCCTTCCCAAAAAAACAAAAACTTAGAATCATAGGTATTTATTTCCACGCAGACAAAAGAGATAAGGGACAGCAAGACACTCTTAACAAATTGAAACAATGGATAAGAGAAGCTCTTCAAAAAAACTGGCATCTCCTCATCTTAGGGGACCTCAATGGAGTCCCCAACCCAGCATGGGATAAAAATAGCATACACAAACAAACAACATCCAACAAACCAATAGGCCCCCAGATAGAAATTCTCTTAGACTACAGTTTGGAGAACACATATAGACTACACAACCCAAACAAAAGAGAATTCACCTGGCACTGTAAAAACAGTAGCAGTAGAATCAATCAAATATGGATGAACACACTCCCTTCATAACAAAGCAGAAAAGCCTATATCGGAAAAGCCTTAGACCCCCTGATTTCCAGTGATCACAAACCCACCATAACTGAGATAGAGACATGGCAACTAAACTCTTACAAGGATATCTCCTACCACAAGCTGAATCATAGATACAATTGGCAGCTGGCTAATAGCGAACAATAGAAAAAATTCACCTCAGAAGTTGATAGAACCCTTGACAACCAAAGCACAAAGCCAAAATCGATAAACAGCCAATGGAACTTTATTTGTAACCATATCCTAAGAGCAGCCAAGCTCCACATTCCAAAGAAAAAACAACACAGGAAAAAAGAACAATTAGTAAGGAAGTTATAATCAAAGATCTATTATCAGAGATGCAGCTTTTCTACAACAAACTAAAAGTCAGCTAGAAAACCAATAAACCTCTTCCCATCCTACCAAAACAGCTTCAGGAAAAGTCTTCTGATATCCAACAGCACCTCACAGAACTAAAGACAGAGCATTCCAATAACTTTCTGCAATACTGGTTAGATTATATGCAGAAAATCATACGAGATCACAAAGTTATTGCCCAAGCTGGCACCCATAGAAAACAAATCCTAGCAATTAAACATAGAACAACAATAAGACAAGAATACCTAGCAACAAACAAAAAAGCAATGATCAACAGCATTATGGAAAAACCCAGGCGAACCATCATCCTGGATAAGATCATCATAGAAGGCGAAGAAGTGTCAATTATAACAAACCCAACAGAAATCAAAGACAGGGTCAGACAACACTTCCAGGACTGGACACCAGCCAGAAAAATCAGACCAATCTTCAACTTTTCATATTGGGCAGCAGAATACGAACCAAAAAAGAACATCAACCTCCATTGATACCAGTCAGCCCTAACTGAAATATCTACCAGTGAAATTAAAAAAGCAATACAAGACAGAAGTGCAAAATCAGCTCCCGGGAGAAATCGTATCCCCTACATAGCCTATAAAAAATTTGGAGCTAAAGCATTAGAAGAAATCCGCTTCCTCTTTAATGGAATTATCAGAGAAGGGAACACCCCTAAAGATTGGAGCAAAAGAGCCATCTACCTAATACCCAAACCAAAGAACTGACAAAACAATCTAGACATCACAAGACCAATCACCCTCTTGGATGCAGGAAGGAAGATTTTCACAAAAATCATAACAGACAGATTGGCACGATGCATAGGAGACCACAAGATCCTCTCAGAACTGAATTGGGCAGCACTTCCTGACTGCAGCACACAAGAATCAATCCATATAATAAACAATATCATTGAATATGCAAAAGACATGAACAGACAAGCCTGGATCCTCAACCAGGACATGTCAAAAGCATACAACTCAGTAAACTTGGAAATGTTAACTCTAGTCCTCAAACGTATCAAGGTCCCCCTTCAGCTTATAAACATTCTCCTGAACATACTCAATCACAAACAAAATATAGTTTTGATATGTCATGGTCCCACAGCAGAATATGACGTTGAGGATGGCATTAATCAAGGGGACACAATATCCTCACTCCTCTGGCGCATCTTTTATAATCCACTTATAACCAAAATTGATCAAAACTTTTCAGAATATACAATCTCCACAAAGACTTGCAGAAATCTCCAAGAAGGATGGTCAACAAAAAAAGTAAATATCACAGTCAGTGCATACATGGATGATACCACCTGGATCACAGAAAACGTTGAAGAAATGAAAAAGATTATCAAAAAAGCAGAAGAATTTTATTACATTAATGACATTAAAATTAATTCACAAAAATTACAACTCATTATTATCAATGGAAAAGA